CGCTGCAGGCTCGACGGTGAAGGGCCCTCCCCACCACTCTGCTCGGAGGAAACGGTGGGCGCAGAACCCGCTCTGCTTTGCCTGTGGTCAGTGACACACGTCCTCACTGGACACCTTCTTCCCACCTCTGGGCAGGGTGGGAAATGTCAAAACTGGACACTGGAGGCGCCCAGGTCGGGGCGTGAGGCCCAAGCGCAGCCTCCGCCCGGCACGCACTCAGGAACACGAGCAGGGCAGCCCAGGTGCTGGCCAGTCGCACGGCTGTAACTCGTCTGGCATTTGGATTATTCTCTGATATTAGGCAACATTTCAGATCTCAACAGCTCGACTTAAACATCTGAGTGTAAAGCCACAAAGATCCGAATTATTTTATCCTGTCCAGGACGCAGAAGGACTGCAGTCCCTCTTTCTCCTCATAATGGCCACTCACAGAATCCCCTCAGCAGGGAAACCTGGGCCCACATCCCGCACGCACACCTGGGGAGGGCTGTGCTGGTGAAGCAAGCCCTGCCCCCGCCCTCCCTCGGCGCTCACTCACAGTCCCAGGTGTGACCGTCAGGTAAGCTCTCCGACTGGCAGTCAGGACGGCAACACCTGGTGTTGGACCTGTTCAGAGCCGCCAGGTAAAAAGCTGTGAGCTGCCTAAATGCTACAGAGCAGGCGCAGAGAGTCATGGCTTAGCTCCCCGCCCTCCAACCTGACCCGGGCCCGTGCACAAGTGGACACCATCGTCTCCCATGTCCCCAACAACAGCACACAGTCCCCCGGTTCCTGCTAGTCCAACACCAAGTTCATCCTCTAACAGCGGTTCTCAACCTGTGGGTCTCGACCCCTTTGGCGGTCGAACGACCCTTTCACAGGGGTCACCTAAGACCATCCTGCATATCAGATATTTACATTAAGATTCATAACAGTAGCAACATTACAGTTATGAAGTAGCAACGAAAATCATTTTATGGTTGGGTCACAACATAAGGAACTGTATTTAAAGGGCCAGAAGGTTGAGAACCACTGATCTAGAAAGGGCTGTGGCCAGGGTGAGTCTCTGGGCCTCGTGGGGACATCCGTCTCTGATGTCCCACCCGCCCCAGAGGATGCCCCTGGGAGATGGAAACCCAGCCGGGTCTCTGGATGCAGGGACCCAGTGAGGGGCAGCTCTGAGCCAGGTGACCACAGGCTTCAGAGCGGGCGAACCGGGGGCCTGAGCAAGCAGCCCCGACTCTGAGCTCCGTCCGGTCGGCACTCAGAGCTGCGCCAACTCCAACTGTGTCCCCGCAGCACCTCCCCAAAGACCGCCAGGGAGCTTCCCCCCATGGTGTGCAGGTGCCGTGCTGCTTCCGCTGGGTCAGGGAAAGAAAAAACCCGAAGTGACGTCTGCTGTCCGGGTGGGTTGGCCTGACACTGACCACAAACACACGGCCTGGCCAGAGCGGTGACCCCTGGGGAAGGACCTGCCGGCTGGACTGGGGACTCGCCTACGGGTTTATTTCATCTCTCTCGGACTCTAGCACATGTGCTTCTGACCGGAGCACTCATCTTACTCCAAAGTAGGATACATCTGAAGACAGTCAGGTAACTTATAAACGCAACAGGCTTCAGCAGTTTCATCAGAGCTCGGAAGCGAACACTTCGGCCTGCCACAAGAGCTATGAACATTTCTGAAACCATCACTATCACAGCCAAAGACCTAAAAGGCGCAACGTCGAAAATACATGGATTTGGACATCATCCCCAGGCCACCGAACCCTTCGGCTCCGAGTAAACACTGTGCACCGAGCTAATCGCGGCCCGTGGTGTTCTGTGAGCACGCAAATCGAAACGCCAGCTGCTCGCCCAGCTGCTTGAACCCAATCAGACAAGACGCACAGAACACGCTCCGCCTCCCAAAACCAGCGTAAGTCTACGTCCTCACGGACTCTGCCTCTCTCCAGGCAGAGTCAGAGGTGGTCCCGGAGCTAAAGACATTAAACCCCCAAAGCCAGAACTTTTCATGACCTGGATCTGAAAGAAACTAAACATTCTCACGCACAGAGACGACCCCTGGGCACGGACGCTGCCCAGCGCCCGTGGCAGACACTCAGCCCCTTTAGGTTAATATGAAACCGGCTAAAGGCCCATCTGCAAACGACCACCTAGAAAATATCAAATGCAGACACAGGCACCCGACGCTCCCGCCGCCCTGGCCCCTGCACCCTCGGTGCCCCTGCACCGGGCAGCCAGCCTCTCAAGCCCACGGGCAGGTGGCCGCGTCCTGTAACAAGGTGGGCCTGGGGACGCCGCCAGCGGCAGCAGCACCATCACCGCAGAAAGAAGTGGGGGGCGGGGGAAGAATCCCCTCGCGTTCCCAAGAGGCTTAGGGCTGACCTGGACACTAAAACTCGGATTTTTTATGGGGAACTCGGAGTTGGCCGTAATTCCAGTGCATTTCCTGAGCTCGACAACAGAAGCGTCATTCCACTGAGCTCTAAACAAGTCTGAACTCTAGAACTGTGAAATTCTATCAAATTCAACTCAAGCAAGAAGTCAGCATTGTCTTAACCCCACGGGCCTGCCAGACACTCTGCCCGGAGGGGTAAGCCACAAACCCGCCCAGCAGGGAAATGACGCCACAGTGGGCCCAGGGCTCACCCTCAACGATGCTCCTTTTCCTGGGGGGACACGAGTAACCGGGTATAGAGGCCCTGAACGGAGGGCGGGGGCTGGTGGTGGCAGGTTCCCCACCCAGACTGCACCATCATGGCAGCAGCGTCCGCTGTGTGGCTGACCTGCTGACGTCTGATGCTGGCTGCACTTTCTCAGGAAGGAAGTCTGGCCGCCCTCCCCTCTGGCTTCCACGGGGCCCTGCTGCCCCCGAGCACCAGCTGACGGGTCACAGGGAAACAGGCGGCCAGGACCAGGAAACATATTGGCTGTGAGGCCCCAACGGTGGGAAAGGTTAGCCTCACACCCGCGGGGGAGCTCGTGCCTTCCTCCGGCTTTGTCTGCGTGAACGCACAGGAATGTCAGGGGCGGCACACCGGACTGGGCTCTGCAACCGAGAGATAAAGAGCAGTCGGGTGGCCGGGGAATGACAGGGACGAAGGGCACCTGCTTTCTGACCACGAGTTAAATAAACCCAGGCTGGTCGTGCAGACGGCCACCCGCCAGGAACACTCGAGTGCACCTTGAAGGGAGAGGCCGAGTCCTCGCCCCGGGACCTCAGTATGTGACTGCAGGTGGACGCGGGGTCTTTACAGGGGATCAAGTTATAAAGTGAGGCCCTGGGTGGGCTCTGATCCAAGCTGTCTGTGTCCCCCTCAGTAGGAGAAATTTGGACACAGAGACAGACACAGAAGGAAGACAAAGGAGAGACAGGTTGAGGACAAGTGTCCACACGCCCAGGAGGGAGGTCTCCAGGGTGCCAGTCTGGTATTTTGTCCCATACCCCCTGACAAACTGAATTCTTACAACTTCTTACAAACCCCCTCGCTACGGCCATCTTCCTGCTCACAGGTACAGTGATGTGTTGCCGACGGCACTCTGCCTTTGACGTCCAGACTGGAGTGAAGGCCCATGGCACTGCCTATGACCTTCATGGTCCAGGGACACACAGAAGGTCACACACTGTGACACGTGGGCTGCTCTGGACTGGAGGCGGCTAGCTTCTGAATATTCTCATTCTTCTTTACATAAAAGTTGTAAAGTAGCACGTCAGGCATAACCAGCCTTAAATTTATAAAAATGCCCCCAGATGGGTTTTCAGTTCCCACGCTTATTAACGAATCCCAGGTTCTGAGATATGTTTGTTCGATGACACCTTTGAAAATACCAACCTTTTAAACTTCACATGTTGAAAGCAGACGTTGGGATAAACATGGGGACACACCCTAATGCACGTCAAGAAAAGCCAGTGCTCACGTTTGTTTTCTCTCCGAGTCCTGACTCCTAACCATCAGCACCGACTGCTTGACAAACTGTCAGGTCTCCTCTGGAGGGTCCCGCAGTACCCAGCCCTCCTGCTCACCCTCCGCGCCTGGCAGGGTTGGGGGACGATGCGCCCATCTCGCTTCCAGAATCCCTCCAGCCAAACACTGAGCTCACCCCCCAAAACAACACGCAGGTCACACGGGCCTCTTCCTGGAGGTCACAGGGGCTTCTTCCTGAGGCGGGCGCAGCCCGTGTCAAACGGTGCCACGCACGGGAGGCACGGGCGGACGCTTCACGCCCCGTCACAATGCTGCTGCAGGGGCTGCACGCGCCAGGGGTCGTTAGTGGCCCACCTGTTGGGAAAGCTGTTCAGTTAAAAATAAAGACGCGGGGCTGAGTGAGCGGCCCCAGCTGAGCCCCAGCGGCCCCACACGCCGTTAAAGAGAAAAATCAACAACCCAAGACGTGAGGCTGGGAACATGCTTGAGTTCCCTGTCACCAGCCTGCAGGGACTGGTGTGTCTCTGGGGAGGAGGCGGCTGTGTTGTTCTCCAAACAGCGTGGGCACGTGGGCACGGCAGGGAGCGGCTGCCGCTCGCTCTAGCTCGCTCGGGAGTGCTGCGCTGAGGCCCATCTGCACCCAGCGCTGACAGCAATTAGGTGGAGACGGGAAGTGGGTGAGGAGGAGGCGAAAACAAACAGGGCAGGGATCGTTTGGTTTCGCAAAACAAACGCCAAGCGCACGTATTTGTAAACTCTGTGTGCCCCAGACTCTGTATGCAGGAGCCCTAACCCCACTCCCTAGAATGTGAATTTATTTGCAGGTGGCCTGTCAGGGGGTGAGATGTCTGGAGGCTGGGCTGCAGCCACTATGACCGTGTCCTTATAAAGACGCCGACTTGGACACTGAGACACCAGGGAGAGAGCCACGTGACACAGGGGGCTGGGATGGGTGAAGCTGCTAAAGACGAGATTCCCCCGAGTGGCAGCAAACCCCGGTGCTGGGGAGGTGGTTCTGGTTCGGAGCTGCAGGGGTTCGAGCCCTGCGGCACCTGCACGCAGACCTCCAGCCTTGGACCCACCCCGCCCACTCACCTGGTGTAGGACGTGGGGGACCTGGGCCGGGCCCATGGGTACGGGTGCTGTGGCACCGACAGGTACTGGTCGCAGAAGGTGCCCTTCCGGATGTGCTGGAAGGGGGGGAACTCCTCCGGCGGGAAGTCAGACGAGGGCGGCGTGGTGCCCAGGTCCTCGCCCGCCGGCTCCACCTTGAGCGCCACGGAGGGAGAGTGGTCCAGGGCGGTCTTGCGGGCCTTGACGGGGACGCCGTCGCCCAGGTCCAGGCTGCTGTCGGTGCTCAGGGCATTGATGGCGGCGACGATGGCCGAGCTGGTGTACTGCGTGGTGTTGCCCAGCCACGTGTCGTCCGTGACGCTGACCCGCGGCGAGCTGTGCGGGGACGGCGTGGGTGAGTGGTGCGGGGAGCAGGACAGCTGCCGGCCATTGAGGCCGTACTTCCTCTTGTTGCTCGGGGACGAGGGCCTGGAGGTGCGCGCCCCCAGCCAGCTCTCCTCTGTGATGCTCGTGCGGGGCGAGGTGGAAGGGGAGTGTCTCGGGGAGCCCAGCAGGCTGCAGGCCCCCAGACCTCGGGGAAAGCCCTCCTCAGGGTCTGTGGTCTTGGGGGACACGCAGGGGGATTGCCAAGGGGACGTCTGCGGGGACGCGTACGGGTACGAGTAGTTGGACTCGTAGGACGAGGCCTCGGAGTTGCAGCTGCGCGAGGACAGGCTGCTGGCCGGGCTCAGGCAGGAGGGGTCCCGGTAGGCCTCCAGGTTGGGCAGGTTCAGGGTGGCGGTGGAAGGGGGGCGTTTGGAGTTGGGAAGGACGTCCTCCACCTCCACGTCGTGGAAAAACTGGTTGTTGTTGTGGTGTAGCCCCAGGTAGGACGTTATCTCAATGCGGGGGCTCTCCAGGGCCGGGGCTCCGTTGGGCCTGACATGGCCGGAAGACAGAAAGTAGCCTGAGGGCCCCCCGTCCACAGCGGCTCCGTACCCCGAGGGGTGGCTCGCGGCCGCCACGGCGGAGAGGCCAGGGGCTGTCGTCTGCATGTCGTGGCACTGCACTGGCAGTGAGGGGTGCGCTGTGGGCAGGGACAGGCCCGGACTGATATTGGAGGACACATAGCTGTAATGCTCTGGAAGGAAAAAGGGAAAGGAAAAGATGGCATCAGGGGGCCAGTCATCAAACACACAAACCCACAGCCCAGTGAGCCTCAGAATCGGGTCCCACGTCTCGGCACAGCTCACCCCCGGCGTGGGCGGTGCTCACGCTGCTCCGATGGCCTCCCCGGGGGAACCTGTCCAGGCAATGAGGTTCCTGGGACCCTTCCCGGCCTCCCCCCGTCTCTAATCCAGCACACAGCCCCTCACTCGGCTGCCCTCGGCCCAACATCCTTCCTCCCAGAGCAGCACCAATGGCCTCCCTGCTTTTTTCTGCTCTTTGCTCAAAAAAAAAGGTCACATAAGTAATACCCTTTGTAATACTTTAAGCAATAAAATAAATAAAATAAAATAACAATTAAAATTATTTTTTAAAAAAAAAGTTGCCTCCCCAACAGCTCTGTCAGAATTCTGAATGAGCCCTTCCCCAGTTCATTTCCTCTCCTTGGTCCTCATCATCATCTTGTGCCTCATCTCTTTCACCAGCAGAAAACTAAGTTCCCTGAAGGCAGGAGCCTTTGCCTGCCTCAATCTACTGTGGTTCACTGTCTTCAGAGCCTAGGACTGTGCCTGGCACATAATAGGTGCTCAGTTTGTTTGACAGGTAGATGGGTGGATGGATAGTTGAATAACAGATGAGTAGGTAGGTGAATGGGTGGATGGATAGATGAATTGATAAATGGATGTAATGAACAGGGGGTAGATAAGTGGATGGATGGATGAAGGGATAGATGGGAGGGAGAATGGATGGATGAATAGATGTATGGACGAATGTATAGATGGATGGATAGGTAGATGAATGGGTGAGTGGGTGGATGAATGGGGAGGTGAGTGGGTGGATGGATGATGGATGGATGGATGGGTGGATAAATGGATGGATAGATGATGAATGGGTGGGTAGATGAATGGATGGGATGGATAGAAAATGGGTAGGTGGGTGAGTAGATGGGTGGGTGGGTTGAGTAGGTGGATTTAGGTAGAGGGACCTGTGCATATAAAGAGGTTTTAATAGACTAGTCACTGTTGAGCTGCTCTTATCACCTGCTACAAAGAAAACACCCCAAGAGTTGGATGGAAGCAGATTCTGGGGTTTCTCTCACATAAGCTTTGATGGTGGCTCATGACCTAGAAAATCCCTCCTTTAATAAAAACAAAGCAGATGATATTGGCACACAGCTGGATTTAAGAATCATTATATGCTAATTATAACCTCAACAAGATATTTTTAAAAATCATTACTAGTGTAATTAGTAATTTTTATCAGAAAAGCCACTCTGGATTCCAGTTTGAAAACATCTTTGTTCTGTATTATTGTGTGCGGTGGAGCGGATATCCAGGTCGCTAAATAATGGAAACACCCACAAGGAAATTCTATCCTGGCTCCCGCCACAGTGACCCACCAAAGACGTCTTATTTGATGGCTGTGCTGTGTCAGACACCACGTGGGTGTACCTGTAGCAGGCCGGGTCTCAGGGTGCTGGTCCGCACCCCATGGCCCTTGCTAACAGGCACGGGTACAGACACCAAACAGGCTGGACCCACTTGTTTCCAAAAGCAGCCATCCACCACCCTCGATAATCCAGTCTTGTAATCCTTGCAATCAAGAGGCTCTTGCTTTGATGGCGCTAAATCCCCCTGGTAAAAACACTGGCTGTTCCCAAGACGGCAGGCCCGGCCCCCCCAGGCCGCCTGGGGAGAACCCACAGCCGCTTCAACCCTGTGTTGCGAGCGGCCCTTTGGAGAGAGAGCAACCGTGTTCCAGATGCTCAAAACTGGTGCCAGGTTCCAAAGAGCCCCCGGGGGGACACGGAGGCGTGACAAGGAAGGGAAAACAAAGCTACAGTTGAGAAAGTTAGAGGCTGGAGCAGTAGGGATGCCTCATGCCTGGGGCGTGCCTGTCAGGCCCTGCAGCTACACCTCCGCAATGCAATGTTCCTGCCTTCCCGTGCCCCCAGGGCGCTCCCCAGGCACCAGCGGGACACTGGGGACAGTCACATGACAAAAGGATGAGCCTCACGGCCACAGAGTAAGAGGACATGGGGAGGCCTGACCCCAGTGCCAGTGCCCAGCTCTGCTGCCAGTCCTGGACGACCACGCCCATGCCACCAACATGCACAGTGACCCCGGCACACACCAACACCCTCCCATGCTCACTACCAGTTTTTGTTTGTTTGTTAATCCTCAGTGGAGGATATTTTTTTCCATTGGTTTTTAGAGAGAGTGGGAGGGAAGGAGAGGGAGAGAGAGAAACACCAATGTGAGATACACATCAATTGGTTGCCTCCAGCACATGCCCCCGTTGGGCCAAGGATCAAATCTGCAACTTAGGTACACGCCTTTGACCGGAAATAGAACCCTGGACCCTTCTGTGCACAGGCTAATGCTCTAACCCACTGAGTCACACCAGCCGGTTTTTAACACAAACACTGAAATCAGATGTTAAAATTTGGTTATGATATTTATAAAACTCCAAGAAGCTAATAACCCTGGAAAGGCACCTCCTGTCAGAGGTCAGGTTCCTCAGGAGGAGGTGGCAGGGGGTGCAGCTGCTGAGGCCCCAGGCTCCGGGGTCATGGTGACCGCTCAGTGGGAACGTCCCTGCATCCTGTGTGCAGGCGCCAGGCAGGGACCCAGAGGCCGTCCCCCTGCCCGGGGCCATGACAAACAGCACAGAAAGCGCCTGAGCTGGACACGAAGAGGCCAGGCCTGGGCTCTGTCCAGAGGGATCAGGCCAGGGCAGGCAAGCCCCACAGAAGGAAATCTTACTCCTTCAGTCACCGGGAGACGACATGCTACTCTGTATTCCTTCCAAAGGGAGTCTAAAGATGGCCTTGGTAAATAATGCTTCTCTACAGCCATGTGCACCTTAGCGCACTCTCCCACGTGTTCACAGACACGGCCACACGGCCCCATCCCGCGTCCTTTCCATGGCGGCCCAACACCCCCCAGATCTCCCAGTTCAATAAAAGGACATCAGCGGCCGGCAGGTGTCAACAAGTCCTTCCGACTGGAGGTAAAGTCCGACATCAGCCAGTCCGACCAAGAGCGAAGCCCCATCCTGTCACCGTGTGATTATGGTTATTACTGTCAAATGATCCGTCAGTAGGATGTTAGCAAAGCAAGTGTGAAACCGAATTGTATACCTATGGGGCAGGACTTTAGTAATTAGACTTCAACAGCTCTATTATGTTTGACTTGTCCCAACATTAAGTGTAGGTCAGAGAGAGGCTTGCCTGCCTCCACTCTGGCAGTCTTCACTACGGACCAGATGACTGCGTCTTGGTGTTTCCTCTACAGCCGCAGGTGCTGGCAGCACACCCCTTCCTGGCTGCCCAGGCTCCTCCTTAAGGACTGGGGGTCCCCCGGTGTCCCACCAATCCCCTGCAGACCCCTCTGCAGCGCAGCACCCCTGCACTGGCTGATCACTCACAGGGAACTTGCTGGCCTGTTCCTAGTCTGGACACGCACTTTCCTGGCACAATGAGACAGAGTCGGGGGTCACTTCCTGTGGTCTCTGCACCCCTCCTGCTTTGGGGGCAGATGAATGTCCTGGGAGCCCCCCACAATCCCCCAGGCTACAGGAACCAGGCAGCGGCTACAGTCCGCACGGCTTGCCTGCACCGGTCAAACTTTGCTCCCTGGGAACCAGAGCTTTCCTAACGTTTGGTCCTTGAGGTGGCAACGTCCCCATGACAGAAACAAGCACTCCCCCTGGCCCCCCCCTCCCCCCCAAACACACACAGAAGGAAGCAGCCCATCCAGCCAGGGCTGCCCGTGAACACGGGCCCCACACTCACACCCACGCTGGGTCCACTGTTCGGTTACAGCCTTTGTGTCTGCAAAGCAGCAGATGACCTAACATCCATAGAAAATGAACGTTCACGTCAAAAAGAAACCGCCATCTTCAGGGACGCAGCACGAGGCACGTGGAAATATGACGTGTGGTTGTAGACATGAAGTTGCCTCCCAGCACTGCTGGGTCCTGCCCTAAGGAGCCCTGGGTGTCCTTTTCAGGGGGCCTGGCACCAGCCCCGCCTGGGCCTTGGAGGAGGTTTTGGACAGATCCCTACACTTCCTGCCCAGCTAAAAAAAATAAGATGCACATCTGTAACATATTTTAAGAGATAGAGCCAGCCCAGCCCGTGTGGCTCAGTGGGTGAGCACTGGCCTATGAGCCAGGAGGTCTTAGTTCGATTCCTAGTCAGGGCAGGGCACATGCCCGGGTTATGGGTTTGATCCCCAGTGTAGGGCGTGCAGCTGATCAATGATTTCTCTCATCATTGATGCTCTCTCTCTCCCTCTCCCTCTCCAAAATCAATAGAAATATATTTTAAAAAATTAAAACAAAGAGATACTAGTATAGCCAATCCCACAGTTGAACCATTTGTTGGCAGGAAGGTAATTCTGAGAATTAAAAAAAAAAAATGTCTAGCCATTAGCAGAGCAAGTCTCGGGGGCTCCCCAACAGCTGCCCACAGGTAGCCCCTTGGAAGGTTGGGGATAAACTGGCAGGTAGGAGGGCGTGGGCAGAGTGAGGGGCAGTTCTGTGTGAGCATGGGGTCCACTGACAGCCAGAATATTCCAGGAAGTGGCCTTCATTTAAATGAACCTGTCTGCCGATGAGGAGAAAAAACACAAAGCCTTTATTTGAAAACAAGAAAAGACTCACCTAAGCATGAGTTCTCCGTAATTAGACAAATTTTGAAATGAAGGCCCTGATAGGGTGAACCTCGCCATGAACACTCCACGGAGCTGATGACGAAGTTCTCCCTTTAGAACAAAACCACAAGGAGGTAGAGCCGCAGCCGGCCGGGCCAAGCACCCTCCCTTCCCGCTTCACTTGGTTTGGTTTTATTACCAAAGAAGCTGCGTTCAAGTCTGAATTATTTAATTATTCAAAGGGACCCCGTTTACATGGAACCACAATATTTCCAGTAACTTTCCTAACAATCCTGCGATGTCAGGCCGATTCATGGCGTGTCAGGAGCCCCCCGGGAGCTCAGCACCCATTGGAGTCATTTTCTGCCGGCGCTCTGGGCCCTGGCCACCTGCCGAGGAGGGTTCATTAAATTACAGTGCAGGTGAGTACAAAGCCGCAGCAGGAGCTAAGCAAACACCGGGCGCTTATTCAAAGTAGTTTACGATCATAAAAGTCATAAAACCGGGGCTCATCCTGGGAAGACAGGAACTCCCCGCCCCTTACTCTCCCCGTTCTCCTCAGCGCCAACACCCTCCCGGCAGAGCACCACACCAGGCGCTCTGGGGCTGGGTGATGGACACGGTGTGAGAGCAGGCGGGGCCTGGCGGCTGGCAGGGGTTTGTTCGGCTCCTAGGCTGGTCCAGCGCCCACTGCGAATTCAATGCTCGGCAAATTTTCTCATTCTGAGAAGTAATTTATTTCAGAACCCTACTATTTTATTCTTTCTAAATCACCACCCCCAAGTTTTATCCACGTGCGTTCTGTTAAGGCCAATAGTACCTGGTGTCATGCGGGCACCCGTGACCACCCTGTGGGGGCTGCCCTTCCGCAGCTGTGACAGCGGGACCGGGGGCGGGCCCAGCACCGACTGCGCTGATGTTCGGCACACGCGGGGCCCCGTGCCCCTGAGCAGACGTTTCCAACAGGAATCTCCGCTCTGGCCCCTGTGCATCCTGCGGTCTTTTGCAAACTCTGAGAGACACACTGACTTTTACTTTTCTTTCGTGTTTGCTGGGGTTGAGCCACAGGACATGAGGCTAGAAATAGAACTGACCTGAGTGACTGCCAGGCCCCGTCCTCCCAAACGCCTGGCTGGACCCCCATCCACTGGGCAATGGGGCTGGTACCTATGCGGCAAGATTATAATTTTGCAGGTAATGGAAACAAAACAAAATAAAACCAAAACATGCTCAGTGCCCAGACCAGCGCTGAAACCTGTTTACTGAGCAGCAGCGGAAAGCGCTACCTCAGGGCGCGGGGACTGGGCAGGCCCCACAGATGACAGACAGAGACAGCTTCCAAGGGCACCACTGGCCCAACAAGTTGCCCGGAGAAGGCTCTGCAAAGGCCAACAGAACAGCCTCCGCATGGCGGCAAACACCCCCAGAATGTCCCGTAAGCCAGCCCCGCTGGCCCTTCGGAGGGCCCTCGGCCTGGAGCGCCTTACCTCTCCTTCTGTATTTAAGGAGCTAAAACCAGCAAGTTGTTCCTGACTAGCTGTGGTCTGCCTTTGACGAACATAACACAGAATTAAAGTGCCCTCCATACATACAACTGTCTCTGAGGGCGGCGGGGCCGCTCGTATGAAAGATACAGGGGCTTGTCCTGAAACAGTGACGGTCCGCCCCACCTCGCATGGCCCCTGCTCCCAGGGCCTCCCTGTGGGGGGTCGGCGTTCCCAGGGCGGGATCCCACGCGGTGTCTGCGGCCAGGCTGACCTGCATGTGAGCAGGGTTCTGGCTCTTCACGGCACCCTCACCACTGCTGAGAACGGACTTGAGAATAAAAATGCCTCCAGAGACATCCCTTCTGCATGGGAGCGACAAAATGCCGCCCACCAAGCATGCGGGGCGCAGACCGGCTGCACTGAGCTGGAGGTGGCCCGACTGCTGGGGAGACTCCAGCCAGACCCAGAGGCCTGGCCAAGTTCCTCCGGAGTTGCCAGGGTGACAGTATTGGCAGTGGTGGGCCGGCCAAAATAACGAAGCAAACAGGAGCCCTGGCGGCAAGCTGGGCCACGCCCGCCTCCCAACTGACAGCAAGCAGCTCTTTCCTAAGACCCAGAGGTGAGCAGGAGACCCACCGCCCAGCCTTCTGCCCCCAGGAGGGGGTTGGGGCCAATGGACCGCGAGATAGATGGGTGCAAACAGCTCACCTACCCAGCCCAGAGCACATTATTTTTAAAATTCTCTTTTCTTTCTCCCAAGAAATGGTTGCTGACTGTCCATTTGCTCCTGCTAGGCCCTCTGGGAAAAAAGAACCCCGAGGCCCAGTCATTCCTTTGAAGGAACAGGTAAGACAGAAGCCCATCAGTGCCACACAGCCAAGAAGAGCGTGAGGTGGCCTAAGTGACGGGGGGATGAGGGCTAAGCCCTGGAGGACAGGACGCCGAGGGTTCCGCTCTCAAGTCAGAGGAACAGTGACCCAGACGAGCGGCCGGGCTGCCTGTGGTCAGGGCTGACCTGTCCTGATGAAGGGCCTGTTTTTGTGCTCAGCATGTGTTAATAAAGCTGTGTCACCAAGCTTACAATTGATCTCGCTATTAGTCACTCGTTCATTTATTTATATCCAGGCCCAGTCCAGGGATCACGTGAAGCCATTGCTATCACCCATTCAGAGCTGGAGAATTGAATGTAACAATTTAATATAATAGCGTAATAATTTAATGATTAATAAATGTAATGTGCAACTAATAAGAACAAGAAGAAAAGACTTTATTCATAATTGCCAAAACTTGGAAGGAACCAAAACATCCTTCAGAGAGTGATGGGTGAAGAGGTGGGGCCCATCCGGACAGCGGAATATTATTTACCACTAAAGAGAAATGAGCTGTCGAGCCATGAAAAGACCCGGAGGAACCTCCCATACACATTGCTAAGTGCAAGGCACTGCTCTAAAAAGCTACATATTGTGTGACCCCAACTATGTGACATTCCGGCCTTTCACACCATAAAGAGGCCGGGAGTGCAGTCCATACTTGCACCTGTCATTTGCCGTCTTTGCTAAATGAACTGAAAAGTGGTTGAACACTCAGGGAGAGAGCTGCACCCAGAGCCACAGGCAGCCAAACCCAGGGGGGAGTCAAGGCCTCAGATCTCTCCCACCGGGTCTGCCTGGGCGCCCATGTCTCCGAGGCCTGGAAACCCACAGCCAGAGAAGACACGGGAGGCGGTCAGAGAGGAGCACGGGTAAGGAAGATCAGACAGCCGCGGCCTGGTCAGAACATTTACTTTTTTAAAACGACCAGGGTGTTACAGTCTTTAAAAGAAAAGTGTGGACGGTATGGAAAATATTATACAATTGTTGCAGAAATGGCAACAGTGCCAAGAGTACTGTGTGCAGCCTCATCGTCTCACTGCCACGTGGGCACTGCACTGACAGAGAGTGGACCCTGAAGTCGCCACAGAAAAAGAGGGTTGAGAAGGGGCTCCTGGCTTTCCCCAAGCCACGGCCTGGCAGACAGGCCAGGCCCTCTCCGCAGCTCCTATTCTTATTCAAGAGCTCCCATTCTGGGGGCAGCAGGGTCCCTTTATTCAGACAGAGGAGAGAAAATGAAAGAAAGAAAAGGACCGCCCCCACCCCACCCCCAGGGTTGGGCTACTTCCACTTTAGCTTCGTTCTGGGAGGGGCTAGGAGCCCAACAGATGGGGGGCTCCATGGCCCCCCTGCCCTCTGGCAGTGACCACTCACCACCTGTCCCCAGGCACTGTCCAAGTTGGGCCTTGGACGCTCCTGTGCCCTGGCCTGAGTGGTGCAGTGGCCGCCTGGAGCCAGCGGCCCCTCCACAGGAAGGCTCCAGAGACCAGCACAAGTGACCCACAGGCAGGGGACCCGAAGCTCCCTGACGCCGGACACCTGAGCTGTGGCACCAAGCGGCTTCACAGGGTTTCCCTCGGCCTCACCCGCCACTCTCCATTAAACCTGACCTGTTTTCCTCCTGCCCCACAGGGGCCTGGGCACCGGACCCGGAGTGGGGACACTGTGGTGCTGCCCTGACCTGGACAGGGGTCGGGGACCAAGGGACACAGGAGCAGAGAGACTGGGAGGGGCTGCTCTGGCCCCAGACTGTGCCCCAGCCTGGCTCTTCCAGACCTCACCCCGCCTGCTGACTCCTGTACCCTGAGAGCCTCCACCCACGACCCCTGCATCACAAGGACCTGCACCCCTGGACCCGCTACATCCAACCCTTGCACCCCCGGGTCTGCACCCCAGCACCCTGGACAATGCACCCCAGACCCACAACCCCTGCCCTGTACACCCAGACCCTGCAGCCCGTGTCCCCTGCACCTTGGGCTCTGCACCTCCAACCCGCGCGGACCCACCTGGGGCGACCCCGGCGCCCTCGTCGCTCTGGTTAAATTCGAAAAGGAAATCAAAGTCGAACTCCTGGTCCTCCTCCAGACCCGTCATGTCGGGAAGGCCCGTCCGGAGTGGGAGTCAGAGTCCGGGGTCTGGGGTTCAGGGTCAGGGCCGGGGTCTGAGGTCGGGGTCCAGGATCGGAGTCAGGGTCCGGGATCAGGGGTCACTGCCAGGGTCCGAGGTCCAGGGTCGGGGCTGGGGTCCAGGGCCCAGGGTCCAGGGTCCAGAGGGTCGGGGCCGGGACCCAGGGAAGTCGGGGTCGGGTTTGGGGGGCAGAATGGGGTTTGGGGC